CATGCATTATTTTATCTTTTTTATAGCATCCAACACATTGTGAGTACTACTGCAAACAAATAAATAATAGCTCCATCTCAAAATTCCTTCCTTGATACAAACCTTCGATTTGCCTTCACCTTCCATAACTTTGTCTTTAACTTAGATTCAGAATCTCTCACCTCCTCATGCATTCCCCACATTGCTACATTCATCTTATACCACTGTGACACATAGGCCCCTTAGCAAACAATTCTTTGGAAACAACTCACTACATCAAATACATTGCTTAGAGCAGTGGTTCTCAAAGTAGGGCCGCCGCTTGTTTAGGAAAAGTCCCTGGCGGGCTGGGCCGGTTTGTTTACCTGCCACGTCCATAGGTTCGGCCGATCGCGGCTCTCACTGGCCCGTGGTTTGCCACTCCAGGCCAATAGGGGCTGCAGGAAGGGCGGCCAGCACGTCCCTCGGCCAGCGCCGCTTCCTGCAGCCCCCATTGGCCTGGAGCAGCGAATCATGGCCAGTGGGAGTCGCGATCGGCCAAACCTGTGGACGCGGCAGGTAAATAAACCGGCCTGGCCCACCCGGGGCTTTCCCTGAACAAGTGGCAGCCCTACTTTGAGAACCACTGGCGTAGAGTATTTGTCAATTAACGTTAACATGTAAGGTCTCTATTGGAAGCTTGGCATGGCATGTTGTGTGTATGGGTAATATTTAAGGAATAATGTAACTATGTTGATGTTTATGCTCATATGTTTTTTAAGTTAAAAGGAATCATCAGGGAGTGATATTACTCAGTGACTGCCTAGTCCTACAGGAGGGAGTAGCCACGTATCCCTGGTTAGCTAGTGATGTAATGCAAGGTTCAACTGCCTATCATTGCCCCATCACAAAAGAGTCAATGGAAAACTATCAAAGACAACTGCAAATAATGGAAACCACTTGGAGGTAAAAAAGGAGCATTATAACAGACAGGGATCACCCTGGATATGAATAAAGACAAAAGACTGTTTCAGTATAACCAGAGTGGGGAGAAGCACTCTGGATCCATTCCCAAAGACATCTTATTGAGCAGAGGTGTTTTTCATGAATGATTAGATCTTGGTTCCCGTGAAGCCAGCCAGCTCTGTAACAGACTGAACTTCGGAGGGAAAACCTACTTATAAGACAAGGTGGTCACATAATAAATTGTAGGCCCTCGTTCACATTTTATTATTTTATTTTGTATCGTAACTATTTGTTTCCATCACTCTCTCTTGCTTCTTGTGTAATCTCTATTCTTTCTTAAATAAACCTTACTTTGTTTATTATATATATATATATATATATATATTAATGGAGATATCCTATCTCCTAGAACTGGAAGGGACCTTGAAAGGTCATCGAGTCCAGCCCCCTGCCTTCACTAGCAGGACCAAGTACTGATTTTGCCACAGATCCCCAAGTGGCCCCCTCAAGGATTGAACTCACAACCCTGGGTTTATTAGGCCAATGCTCAAACCACTGAGCTATTCCTCCCATTACAAGTGCTGTGTATTATACAGGGGCGGCAGTTTAAGGTAAAACTGTTAAGAGGACCTGGGATTTCTGTGAGTAACCAGTGTCTGTGGTTTGATATCACAGGGGAATCTTCAAGAGGACTCAGGGACTGAGGTGCATCTCTTGCTAACCTGCAAGGCAAACACAGGGCTGGCATAGTCTGGAGTAGAGTGGCTTGAGTGACTGAAAGGCTGGTGGTGTTAGGGAGCTAGCACCCAGTTACCACAAGCAAGACTCCCTCACATTGGAGGCAGAGGGGTAAGGATGTGAGTTACAGTCCTTTGTACCCCGAGAACCATCACAACCACCTCCACCGACACCCTCATTCCTTCTTTCAACTATTTTTATATGGCTTCCCTAAGCCCCAGTACTCTAGATCTAACACAATACTGCTGCCTGCATTCTCACACGTACAAACACACTCAATCGCATACCTCTATCCTCAAAGGGCTCAACTGGCTTATCATTCATTCAGGATTCAGTTCAAAATTGCCTCCTTGTTGATAAACACTCTCCCAGGGGTTGTTCTAGCTTACCACATAGACCTTGTCTCCTCATACTCTCTTCTACTAACCTTTCATTCATTTAGCATATGCACCCTGGAAGTAAATAGGCTGCATCTGTCTGGGCTGGTAGAAATATTAGGACCTCTGAGTAGAATCTGCTGCAGCAGAGTCTAAGCAATGACACGATCCTGCCCCTTATCCTTTGACTAGACAATGATAGGCAGTACTTTGGGTCATTTAAATGTAGTGGCAGCTGCCACAGATCCTGCCCAATGATTTTAGGCTCACCTTCCCCTATAATCTGCCCAGCCAAAACCTCCTCTCTGTAGGCTTCAAGCATGGATGAGGCAGAATAGCAGCTGGGATCTCAAATACAAAGGATTGGTCTGCTTCCCACACCATTCCCATGTCTTTCCTATGAGAGGTCCATCTCCTTGTCTTCTGGTCATAGTGGTCTTTTAGTTCTTCACTGGGGGACCTGTCATGACAATTGGGCCTATACATTTACCTGAACCATGAGCTCAACTGTAAAAAAGTAGGTAAAAGTTCATAAGATGCTACAGTAACCTACAATAACAAACGTTGATGGGAAAAGGTACAAAAGGGATACAGAATAACTGAATTAGGCTAGACAAAAAAGCCAAGTTGATTCAAGGACTGCAATTGAAATTATGCTGGTTAAAAACCAGGTGGTGGGGGGCCAGAAGTTAATAAGCCAAAATTAGTATGTTGGCTATTAGTCCTAATTGGTGCACAAAATAATGAGAGGATGGCTATTCCATCCACCACTCCATTTTTGGGTCCTTACAAGAAAGATTTTCTGGGAAAGTACAAAAGAACAACAACAACAAAAAGAACAGAATGAAAAGACAGATGGAGGCCACTAGAGCAAGCTTTACCATCATGGTTGTCACCCCCCCCCACTGTTTCCTGGGACCTCAAGCCTTCATCAGCCTGATCCTGAGAGATGTCCTGACCAGAACAAACCAGAAATAGAGGGACCCAGATAAATTGCCATCACTGTATCAGTTCCATCTGAATCCCTATGAAATCTTAACAAACAAAAAAAACTATCCGATATCAACATAATCACAAGATTTCAAGTTATGGAAACAAAATGTAATTATTTAATTTCACCATACATCACAGTACCTGCAATAAACAAACACCAGAGAATTACAGAAGAATGGAGGAACCTGGCTCCATTTCATTGGTTTTGTGAGTTTCAAATAAAGTTACAGGATTGGATTGAATTAAAGTATTTTCAGAAGAAATTACTTATAATAAAGAAAAACGAATACAAGTTTTTAAAAGAAATTCTTGCAGTATTTTACAAACAAGTTTTGAAGACATATTTTGAGAAAGTTTTAAACCTGGGTTGTTGTGTAGATATAAATTTAGTGATTTTTTTACAATGGGACATACGTACATACCATACATTGTTTTTTTTTAAATATTATTGTGATAATATTTATTTTGAATTTTACCTCAAATTGGCAATTTTACAAGAGAAATCTCTTTTTGATCCGATGGACTGCAAATATAAAATTAGAAAGTGGACTGTGTGCCACACAGACCAAAAGATGTATACTATAAGACAGTCTATAGTATAAATTTAGGTCAGTTTAACAAGCTGGTTTTTGATCCAGGAGACAGTTTGTGGTCTATTGAGTTCATGATTTCTTAGGGATGTTTAAATCCACAATTTACCGAGATGCTACCCATGCACACCAAGTTTAGTTGTGGAAAGTATAAAAATCTAGATGGTCACAGAAAATAATTGTGCCTACATGTAATAAGCAGTATTTCTAAACAAAATAAACCGTTTTTTCTAAAATGTATTTTCCAAAATACCCAAAAGATATTAGCTCATAGTATAAATTTAATGCTGCACAACAAAAATATGTTTTTGAAAAAAGGAGCAAAAAACAAAGCTTTTGGAAAATACTAGCTTTTCAAGTACAAGAAAGTAAAAGGAGTTTAGAAGAATATCTGTTTTCCTAACAGATAACGTGTAACTGATTTTTTCCCCTCAAATTTGATGAGAATGTCTTATAGGTTAAAAACGTTGTACCCCAAAGCACATAATGAAAAATGTTTGCCAACTACAGACTTCAGGAAAGGGTTCATGCCCAAGATGGTAACAGACTACTAACTACAGGAAGTGTAAATAGTATCACTAAAGAGATCCTTCTAGTCTATGGGTGAGTCTAACACTGTAATTAGACACCCGTGGCTGGCCTGTGCCAGCTGAGTCCGGCTCAAGGGGCTCAAGATAAGGAGATGTTTAATTGTGGTGTAGCCTGCTGAGTTCTGGCTGCAGCCTGGGCAGGATCCTAGAGCCCAGGCTCCAGCCCAAGTGAGGAAGTCTACACAGCAGTTAAACAGCCCCGCAGCCTCATCCCCGTGAGCCCAAGTCAGCAGGTGTCTAATTGCAGTATAGACGTACCCTATGTGACTAAGTCTTTCCCCTTCTGAGGCTGTACCTACACTAGAGGCATGACAGCACCACAGCTATGGCACTGTAGCTCTCCTCCAATAAACCCATAGTATGTCCTTTTTCACATCCATGAGTGCTGTAACTATGTCAATTTTAAGGCCTGAGATTACACTTCAGAGCCAGCAGAGACTACAAAAACAAGACAACTCTCGTGTATCAGGTTTCAGAGTAGCAGCCGTGTTAGTCTGTATCCGCAAAAAGAACAGGAGTACTTGTGGCACCTTAGAGACTAATAAATTTGTTAGTCTCTAAGGTTCCACAAGTACTCCTGTTCTTTTCTCGTATATCAGTAATTTAAATTTTGGTGTTGTTGGTACAAATGCCAGATTTCAAATTACTCAGACACTAGGGGGCTTCCTCCCCCAGTTAAATACAATGGTCATATCTGTATTTTCATGTGTGTTAACTGGTGCAACAAAGCAGAACAGAACATACACACACACACACACACACCAATAATTATTGGATTAAATACATACTTTGAAAGTTGCTTCTCAGCATCAGCACAGAGCTCCAAAAGGCCCATTAATACAGCGGAGACATCCATGTAAGGCTCCCATACTGTAAAACCTCGCCCAATCAGATCAATGGCAGTTCTGCGGATGGTGCTGTGTGGAGGAAGTTTGGGGCTTGGTGGTTGCAGCAGAAGGAATGTCAAAGCTTTACCTACCATACAAAACAGGATAAAAACTAGTACAATAAAAAGAAAACTAGTGAATTGATTCTGCTTTGTTATTTGTAAAAGTTACCATGGATAAGAATACAGTATGGAAATCTACTCAGAATACAATACAACATTAGATTCATATGCTGTAAAAGCTTCCAGTGGGCAAGTCCCTACATCTGCACAGTGTCTCAGTGAAGTTAGTGAAAGAAGAGATGCATAGTGCTGCCTATATCAATTATATTAATTGACCATAACCTCTACGGTGCAGGGACCATTTTTCTGTTACGTGTTTGTACAGAGCCTAGCACAATCAGACCCTGACCATGATAGGTAGGTGTTACTGTAATAAAAATAATTATTACAAATACAAAATATTATATCAAATTGTTTGCAGGATCAGGGCCCTATTTAATATAGGATCTTTCCAGTAAATGGTATGTCAACCCTCTAGCGAATTAAATAGTGCAATCACAGAATTAAATAAGTAGCCAGTGAGAGAATGAGAGGAAAAAGTGTACCAAGGAAAAATATGCTCTAAAATGAGACAGAAAGATGCAGGAAAGTTTTTCTAGTTAAAAGGAATGGCAGTGGGAAAGGCTTTTCCACCAACACTTGTGACACAAGCAGCCCAGACAAAATGCTTATCAAAAAGTCCTACAGAATTCAACAGAAAAAGCGATAACCCTTCGATAGGATTTTTGCCTGTAGAATTTAATAAAGAATTATGTGCCTAATATAATTTAGGATGGATAAACTATAGGAAGGCAATAATTCTCTATTAGAGTCTATACTAATATTTATAGACTATTGATTCCATCCATATTGTATTCTTTCGGTAGGACTATTCGTAGCAGCGCCAGCTGCCAGCTGCCTCCCGCATTCCCCCTTGTGGCCTGGGGTCATGCTGCAGCACCCAGCCTCAGTTTCTCGTCTCTGATAACCAAATAACTTCATGCAAGCTCTCTTCTCTCAATAATACCTCTCCTCAGGGCTAGTTTTTTATTATAACCTAGTTAAAAATAGTGCATAACAAAGTCCAACCTAAAATCAGACTAAAACAGTGAGTTAATTTGCATTAATTTGATTTCATGCAAACCTGACAGCAAAACCACTGTAAGTTTCACCATGTTAAGGGAGTTACTGTCTTTGCAGTTGCTTATTATCCTTCTTGAACTTGGGGAAATATGTACCTAGGTCAGAAACTGCAGCCATTTTATGGTAAGAAGTTGAACATCTACATACATTTATCTACAGATTTTATTTTCCAACTAGAAGTCTGCATGCTCTATAACTGCACAGAAACCAAATAAAATCATGTATTATGAGTATTTAGAGATAGGTGGCATTCAGCCAAAAATATATTGTAAATAAATTTCAAATGTATAGCATGGACTGCATGCATATCCTGCTTTTAAATCTCACATAGTATAAGGATTTGGGTTTATGTAATGTAGAAGGCTAGCAGTAATGAGGTGACTCAGGTTGCTACATGAGATTGCATCCCATCTCACCAAAACCTACTATTCTTTCCCACTGATAGTCAGTAAGTTAAAGCATCACAACATCATGGCATTGTTGGCACAGTTTGATAAACTTATAGGGATAATCTAGTTATCAGTTAAATATATTTGTCTTTCTTTATACCTGAAATGTGCTGAACTGACCCTAAAATATCCAAATGACTTTTTAACAGAGACAGCACTAAGTTTATTGGGCTTAAAGAGTGACATGTTACAACATTTGTCCCAACAGTATTGTGGCTCAATTTAAAAAAAAATAGATGTATAACTTAAAGCAAGCATATCAATACACCTCTACCCCGATATAACGCTGTCCTTGGGAGCCAAAAAAATCTTACTGCGTTATAGGTGAAACCGCATTATATCGAACTTGCTTTGATCTGCCAGAGTGCGCAGCCCCGCCCCCACCCCGAGCACTGCTTTACCGCATTATATCCGAATTCATGTTATATCGGGCCACGTTATATTGGGGTAGAAGTGTATATATTTTATCTCACCTACTGTTTAGTGAGAGCATGTGAGTATCTGCATGTAAACCCTCCCTCCTCCCATTCTTTTTAAGATGTTTGGATAAATTTAGTACTCATGAATGGTGCTGGAATAGTTCTCTGTCCACACAGCAAATACAGCATCACTGGAGGCAGCACAAGTTTTCCCACATCACCTTACTAATGTCCCTCAATCTTGTGCTGGGATAAAATGCTGTTCTATTTCTACTCATACGTGAAACTCTCTGCTGAGTCTACTAAAAAGGATGCCAACTGTGAATGTATTTTTGTGCTGTGGATATCTGTCCACTAAGAACTGGACTGAGACCAATACTGCATGTTAAAACGGACACTGAACAGCTATCAGATAGCAATGGCCTTAAGGTACCACAACCTGGAACAAATTTGAACCAATGTGACTAAAGGTTTTATATTCCATTAACAAAGCCATAATCCATAATCCATCCCATTTCTACCTCTTGATTGTTGAAATAGCATGAGTGGCAGTAATGACTTGTTTGTGTGAAGAATATACATATTCTGAACTAGATGATCCATTGATCTGAATCATCGGGCTATCGGGCTCATATTGCATCCTAAATATAAATTTTTCAGTGGAGAATACCTCACTGTTAATTTTCAAACCAAATAGTCCTGAAAATATGATTTTACTGGGCCACAAGATCACCAATTAAAAATTCTATTTCGGTGTGACAAATTTATAACTACTGTTTTTTAAAAAGCCCTGAAAATTACTAGGACTAAAAGAGATTCCAGGGTATTTTTAAGAGGCTGGATTTCACAGCACTTTGTGCATAGTCATTTATTCATTTTCCCGTGTAGTCAGTAAGCAAGGGAGAGATAACTGAAAAGCTCTTATAGACATTAGTATGAAGGAGAAAAAGATTTATAAAAGCTGTAAATAATTTTTAAAAGCAAGACAATTAATTAGACAATTAAAAAAATTAAAATTGACAGCATCTTTTTAAATGATCGCAACACTATGTACAGCACATTATACTCTAGCCACGTAGATGATGTCGCTTTCAAGATTCCAGTGGAACACTTTTGAAGCCTAACCACAACCTACTGTAAGTCAAATTGTATATTGATTTTTGGTCAGAATTGTGGCTAGAGTCGGTAGAATTTTTTATGATTTTTTCAGACTTATTTTTACTGTTTTTCAACCAGTTGACAGAGGTGGCTGAAGTGTTTTGGGGGGAAAAAGTGACCATTTTCTAACCAGCTTTAATTGTGTCTGTCTCATCAGGATATACATTCTATCCTTTACTTAAAAGATCCCTTATGACATCATCTGAAGAATCAGTAGAGGGAGGCTTTCAATCTAAGTGAACAGTGCTGTCTGGGGATGTAACTTTACTGAATAATATTGCAAAAATGGAGTAGTTTCCTACGTGTAATGGTGTATTTCACCAGCATTTCCCTTAAACTTAATCCCATCATGACTATTACTCACAGGCAGCACTTGATTTACTTTGATTAAAAGCTGCTGCTGTCAGCTCCTCAGGTGATGTCAGAAAGCCGCACTGGCCTTCTCTCCATACTGAGACTTCTATAGGCAGCTTCCTCACATGAAGCAAAAAGAGAAATGTGCAAGTGGGAAATTTCTTGACAGTCTGATAAACGGAGGCAGTGAGCTCAGGAAACGTGCTCACTTGTCTTAGACATGTCACAGCAGCGTGTTAGAAAGTGAAATGACAGAAAAGGAAGAATCAGCAATAGTCAAATGAAAATCCTTTGCCTGCACTGAGCTGCACAGATGGCGACTGCTGCTATAAGGGAGTGATTTAGGAACTGTATACACAATGAATAGCTCTACAGCAAAGGTAGATCTGGGCATCAGAGTAGCCTCTTTTCTCCCTTTCAGGAATGGACAGAAGCCCCATGAAAGCTTCTCATACTGAAGCTTCCCCAGTGCAATAAGCATGACAATAAACAACATGCTGAATAGCCCACAAAGGAAAATTACTTATGATCCATCCATAACATTCTTTTTCTGCACTTGCCATCTGGTAGTGCGTAACACTTACTTCCAAAATCCTGCTAACTGCACCAGTACTACTGTACTAAATGAAAGCACCAAATAGAGACTGAGAAACCCTTGGATATATTGTTAATATTGGCTTATCTTAAAATATTACAAATATTTCACAAAACTGGAATGTCCTGAATACACATGAAGAAACAGCTACCAATTACCTACCAATGTCAGAGGCTGAACAGTAGACCGAGGAAAAGAAGGTCACATTAAAATAATGCTACATTAATTAATAGCTCAATTACAATGACAACCCTTTGAGATTACATATTATATGCACTTTAAAACAAAATGATTTTCTGATGATTTATGTTATTACAATGAATGCCAAATGAATTAATAATGTGTTACCAAGTGAATGAAGTCCTTCCCCCAGCCGTGCAGGTCACAGAGCACAGGTGGCATGGTGCCATATTGTATTCTTCTCTCTCTGCTTCAAGTGATTGACTTTAATAAAAAGGAATTCAAGTACAACAAAATATCTTAATTGTAAGGCAGGGAAAATAACTATTTGCAATGGCTGTCACTCAATGTTAATAGAAATCTATACATGTAGTTTTAGGGGGGTTTTTTGTTTTGTTTTTAAATTTCTACCTTGTGTCACATTTTATTAAAGAGTGAAGAAGCAAAAAAAGTTACATTAAGGGCCAAATTCTGGCTGTCAAATGAACATGGATGCCTGTCAGAAAAGCCTAAGGTAAAGGAAAGCTGGGTAAAAGTTTTCCACCCCAATTCTGGGTCACCATAAAACCCACCAACACACCATTCACAGGGTCGTATATGATAGCAGCTGTGCAGAGGGCATCTCGGGGGTAGGGCCTAGCTATTAGAAGGGGTCCTCTACCCATTTGAGTGCATCAGTCACTCGACTCAGCCATAGTAATTATGCTGGGGAGTTTGCCCAAAGGGTGTAAATACCCTGCAGGTTATGGAGTTCAACCATGCAAGACTCCAGT